TGATGGGGTCATGCTCTCTGCTGTGAGAACTGTTTTGGTTGTACCAGTGTTCAGTAGAAACCAGGTTTTTTCCCTCGAGGGTGAGAGATGTTCTCTTTATGCCCAAAACATGGGGAATGCTCTCTGCTTTAGTCTCAATTTACTTGGAAGCCCCGTTCACTTGTTGACCTCATCTGCAAGAGATTCACATTTACAAGTAATGACATGCACTCAGAAAACAAGTTTTCATTTGGAAAAACAGATTGTCAAGGTGCATGCATGTGACTGATACTGACACCTGGACAGAACTACAGCTCTATGGAGGCATGGTCGTGGCTGTTGCTCTGCTTCCTAAACTGCCACATTCAAGCTTTCTAGCCCAATCCTAACGTGTGATAGCAAGCAGGCCCCAGGTACATTCAGTCATAGGTGCAAGGGTAGACTGGGTGGGCACCAAGCTGTGTTTTATGGGTTTGCCATTGCAGGAGAAGGATGCGTCCATGTGGCAGCTGCAGGGAGAACCCACAGGGCTGATTGTAGAAGAGCCATGGCCACTGTCACCTGGTGGATGGGTATAAGTTGGGTCCCCATTGCCCACACATGCAGCACTCTGCCAGGTTTTGTGAGCAAAGCAAAACCCACCTTTAGGAGCATTGTTTATCATCTGGAGATGGATTTATTGCTGGGTGGAGAAGGAGAAAATTATCCCAGCTGGACCTGGTTCTTTGTGCTGGGGTGGTGGTCTTTCTCCTGATGGCAGGGTACAGGTGGAGTTAGCACGGGCAGTTGCTTTCCAGTTGTTGCTGTCCAGTAGCAAACTGCTGTGTCCCTGTTTTAGTGGTGGAAAATCTCCAGGTTCAAATTCTGAAGCTGCTGCTGAACAACAAGGAGAGAGGAGGGGTAAGCACCTTCTGGATCTTTTGCTACATTATCTCTGCATCCCAGGACTTGTAAGGTACAGAAGTACAGCTGTGGAGACGTTCCGTCCGCAGAAGTAATTCTCTAATTGATCCAGTCAGGCAGGCTGAATTGCAGAAACAGTTTTTGGGGGCTGTTTAAAGGGCTATCATGGAATCACAGACTCATAGATAGTCTCAGATGCTTTGCCAGTGTTGACTGATGACATGAGCTGCACCTGGGCCAGCCTTGTGTTTCTGTTGAACTAGGCAGACAGTCTGACTGCAGTGCATTCTCCCCTCACAATTAATTCCAGAAAGAAAAGAAATGGCAAGTATGTGAGTGTGTGCCTCTACAGAGCAGGTGGAGAATATTCAGCTGGATAAAGCTGTGCATCTTCTGGCCGTCATCAGTGCATCCCAGTATGGGCCTCAGAAGACACAACGCTGCAAAGCAGTGGCCCACAGGCTACTCATGGGTGCTCCAGCAATGGTGATAACTGGGTCAACTGCCATTCTCTTGCTGAACGTAGCTCCCAAGCATATACAGCTCTGTTTCTCAGCAGCGTTGGACCCCACAAGGACTCAGGCATCACTGCAGGCCCAGACCTTGTTGCAGATGTTCTGGGTACTATTGCTGTAGCATTACGCTGCAGATCTACCTAATTAATATGGAAAAGTATACAGAGCCCCTCTACCTTACGTGCCTGAAGTCTAGATGCGTCCCTGAGCAAGCGTGACAGAGAT